CCCCAAAACCCCAAAACCCCAAAACCCCAAAACCCCAAAACCCCAGAAGAGGTAAAAGGTATAGAATATATTTAAAAATGGATAAGTTCAATCCTAGGAGATACTCTGAAGCGCCGAAGAGTGCTTTTAATCAACTAAAATTAGAGAGCTCCCCTAGGAAAAAGAATAATGATGATATTAATGACTCTTCTGATAGTTCTTTAGATGAATTTACAGGCAATACGAAATTGAAGCTGCCAGGTGTATGTGCAAAGAGTGAAAAGCCTAGATCTGTAAATCTTAATATTCCCAGGTAAATTATTCATTTTCACTATAATTCATATTTCATTCGAAAGTTATACTACTAAGAAGGAGAAGGATGGCTTTGATAAAGTATCATTTTCAGTTAAATGACCAATTATTTTCGAATATTTCACTCTAAATTCTAACCCAGAAGGGAGTTTTATTATAATTATAGCTGAAAACGATCATCTATCGCACCAAGAAGAAACATTATGTCAATGCAGTCCTCTGAATTTGAGGAGGAGGATATCCGAGGAGTGAGGAAATCACTAGCTAAAGAACTTCAGATCCCTTGGCTGAACATATCTAGGGCTGCTCTAATAGTATTATACTGTGCTCTAACCACTATCATGAGCTCTCTAAATGAAGATCTGGATAAAGACTCTAATGATATTATTTTGCACTCTTTAGAGAGCATCTTCATTGCTTTATTTGTACTTGAAATTGTCCTATTTAAATATGCCTTTAAGAAGAAATATTATGAAAATAAGTTTAACATAGTGAACTCGATCCTTGTTGCAGCCATATTTTTATTATGGATACTGGATATAGCCATTTCAAATTACACTATAAGTGTTTTGCTCCGTGTAAGAGGCTCTCTGAGACTGGTGTACATCCCTGTAATCATCGAGCATATTCATCATCATATTAAGAAAGTCAGAGGCCGAGAGTACATGTTAGGTAAGTTTATAGTCCAAAGAATTGATACTAAATGCCTCTTAAAATCTTGAATCTTTACCATTGAGCATATTTTAGAGAATTTAATATTCTTCAAAATTGCTAAAATATTATGAATGTTTTAATCCTTGCACTTTTTGATCTGACATATTTTAATAGAGAACGGAGACCACCCAACCACTGATAGTATCGTTCAGATTTTAATGAGAAATATTGAGATCATTGACGATGATAAAGTCAACAGCGATTTAAAATACTGAATGAAGCATATTGCCAAAGGCGACCTAGACAAAGGAAGTGAGGTTGATTTGCAAGTACAAGAACTCTCTTCTCTTAAGAGGAAAAGGGATAGGATCAACCCTAGAGAGGAGCATGCATGGATTCGTTCTTTCTCTAATGTCTTTTCCCTGAGGCGGGAGACTAATGAGTCTGGGACTATCATCATGTCTGTTACTAATAATCATAATCTAGACTCTTTGCTTGATGTGAAATTCAATATTACTGAAATGATGGAGAAATTAGAGACTATGGAGTTTGATATCTTCGATTTTAAGGAGAAAACTCACAATAGAGAACTTACTACAGTTGCTTCATTGTTGTTAAATAAGCATTCTTTATATAATGAACTTGGAATTCAGCCTAATCAATTCTTAATCCTATTAGATAAAATAGCTTCAGGATATGATTCGAAAGTTCCTTATCATAACTCAACTCATGCTGCTGATGTTTGACAAACTCTATACTGATTCATAATAAAGGGAAATTGGATTTCTCTATCCCAGTTAGGGAATTTAGACCTCTTATCAATGATACTGGGAGCAGCAGTGCATGATTATGAGCATCCAGGAGTAAACAACCTTTATTTGATCAATTCAGCTGATAAGCTAGCTATCCGCTATAATGATGAATCAGTTCTTGAAAGTCACCACATTGCTGCTGCGTCAGATCTCCTGAAAACTCCTCAATACAATGTGTTCAGGAAGATGGATGATGAAGAGCGAAAAGAGATTAGAAAGAGAATGGTTCATATGGTACTTGCTACTGACATGAGTAAGCATTTTAAAGACCTTGGTACATTCAAGAGCAAAATTAATTCTGGAAGTCTTGATCCTATTGACAAGGATCTCCATTTGTGCTTAGGAATGGGAATGCATCTGGCTGATATCAGTAATCCTACCAAGCCATGGCATCTGACTCAAAAGTGGATAGAACTTCTGTTTGACGAATTTTTCAAGCAAGGAGATAAAGAGAAGAAGTTTAAATATCCTATCAGCGATCTTATGGATAGGAAGTCAGTCAATATTGCTAAAGCACAACTCGGATTTATTGATGTCATTGTACTTCCTTCCTATGAGTGATTTTCGAATTTCCTCAAATCTTTAAAGGAAAACATAAAGAATACCAAAAAGAATAGAGCCAATTGGGAAGCCAAAATCGATGAATACCAAGAAAGGATGAAGTGCGAAAAAAGAGCTCCTTCCAGAGGTGAGGTCATTGAAGAAGTTAAAGAGCTAAGCGATGAAGAAAGCGAGTCTAATAAAATACTTAGCATGGGAGACTCTATTAATCAAGAAAAGACCATTTCGAAACAACTGGATGGGTCTAAGAGTGAAAGTGATTTTCATCAAGAATCATCTTTTGAAATGTAACAAATAATACCAATCCCTATTTTTACACCAAAAATAAAGATTTATTGTAATATTTTTCAATTTTTGCTCCTAAGACTGGGGTTTTGGGGTTTTGGGGTTTTGGGGTTTTGGGGTTTTGGGG